TCCCACATTATCTGAGTGTGGACTCAGATAACCCAGTTCAAAGCAGATATTGTGGGATTCTCTGCCTTGATATTCTGGGATATAGGGCTGTATGGAAGGGCCTTAAAAATCACAGTTCAATGCTTGAATCACTGCAGCATGCAGTCCCCTTCTCTCTTTTTCTATGTACACACTAAAAAGCCTATTACTTCCAGAGAGATAATAACTTATGAAAAACACAATGGGGGACATGAAGTTCTCAATGCTACTTAGGGTTTGCACAAAACGTATTTTCATTTTCTACCTTGCAATTGTTAAAAGAGTTTGAGCCCAGAATCAGGATTTTTAGCTTTCTCTGTATAGTTTCAATACAAAGGTATAGTCTACAGCAGGCATGGGCAAACTTTGGCCCTCCAGGTGTTTTGGACTTCAACTCCCAGAATTCCTAACAGCTGGAGTTGAAGTCCAAAACACCCGGAGGGCCAAAGTTTGTCCATGCCTGGTCTACAGTCAACATATTCCCCCACACATTCATTGCCCACTCAAATGATTACAATTCAGAATTGTTTTTTGAAAACACATCGCTCACATTGATCCTTATGCCTTTGAAGTAATTGGCTGTTACATAATTTTGGATCACTCAATACTCAGTCAATGAGGAAAAAACAATTACTGAAAGACTCCATGCATGTGTTTCATCAACCTCAAAAGAGATCCAAGTTGGTGGCCATCAATACATTATTGTGACAGCAAATTCCACAGTTTGGCTTGTATGAAAAAGTCCTTGTGTTGGCCATTCCTGATTTTTACATCATCATCTTCTTCTTAGGCGATCCCTCGTTGGCCGAGTAGGATAGTCTTCCAGGATCAGAATTCTTGTGAATCTATAGGTGGCTGTGGAGCCCTATTCTTGATCTGCATCTTCTTCCGCAGGGAGGGCATTGGTTTCCAGGTGGAAGGCGGTTGGCTTGATGTGCCTTCCTCTTGGCACATTTCTCTCTTTCACCCTCCATTCGTGCCTCTTCAAATTCTGCAGCACTGCTGGTCACAGCTGACTTCCAGCTGGAGCGCTCAAGGGCCAGGGCTTCCCAGTTCTCAGTGTCTATGCCAGGGTTTTTAAGGTTGGCTTTGAGCCCATCTTTAAATCTCTTTTCCTGTCCACCAACATTCCGTTTTCTGTTCTTGAGTTCGGAGTAGAGCAACTGCTTTGGGAGACGGTGGTCGGGCATCCGGACAACATGGCCAGTCCAGCGGAGTTGATGGCGGAGGACCATTGCTTCAATGCTGGTAGTCTTTGCTTCTTCCAGCACGCTGACATTTGTCCGCCTGTCTTCCCAAGAGATTTGCAGGATTTTCTGGAGGCAGTGCTGATGGAATCGTTCTAGGAGTTGCATGTGACATCTGTAGACTGTCCATGTTTTGCAGGCATATAGCAGGGTTGGGAGGACAATAGCCTTATAAACAAGCACCTTGGTATCTCTACGGATGTCATCATTTTACATCATCATCATTGGATGAACAAGCTTCTGGTAATATGGGAGTGAGAGAATAGCTTCTCCTTCTTCACTTTTGCTAGTATAGCAAAAGTGTGTATAGTTGTTTTTCTACTTTCATGAGGTTACAGTTGCATTCCCCACTCCCCACAAAAGGGGAAAAACACAGATATCATGGTGGTGGGGTGGTGGAGGATGGGGCACCTCCATTGCATCCCCTTGGCAACGTGCTGTGGTCTCAGAGGGAAGATGAGAAGGGTTCGTCCCATAAAACGCTTCACTTACCCTGCAGATCCCAGTTCCTTTTTTTGCATGCCACAAACATTGGTTTTGCCTGAGCAAAGGAAGGGAGATATTGAGCAAAACAGAAACACAAGGCACACCTGCCTGCTGCCCACCTCCTGCTCACTTCCTAAACACAGGGCTGACATGTGAATGTGAGCATGACAACCCCAACTTCAGGAAGTGAGTGCATTGGTATAAGCTTGCGAATAATCAAAATCATGTGAGAAACCTTCAAAAGTGGAGGAACAATTGTACCTCTCAACATGCTTTCCTTTACACTTTACTTTTACACTGCAGTACATTACCGTCCCCCCACCTACTCTCCTTTTTCAAAGGAAAGAGTCCTGAACATTGTAATTTTTCCTTAGGGAAAGGTTCCACAGTTTCTTGATTGTTTGTATTTTTTTCTGCATCTTTTTAAATTCCAGAAATAGCCCATTATCTACTTCATCACACTACAGAGAAAAAATCCACAAAACCTGGTTTCTGCCTCCTGCAGAATTCTGGGGTTTGTAGTTCAGTGAGGCCGTTAAAGGCTCCTCATAGAATCATAGAGTTGGAAGAGACCCCATGGGCCATCCTGCCAAGAAGCCAAAGTCAACTTGAGGGCAATATGTTGTCGAAGGCTTTCATAGCCGGAATCACTGGGTTGTGTAGGTTTTGCAGGCGAAACGTCAGGAGAGAATGCTTCTAGGATATGGCCATACAGCCCGAAAAACCTACAACCCAGACTTGAGGGCAGCTCACAAGATTCAAAGTCGGCTTGTGAACAGTTTTTAACAAATGCAAGCGACTGGGATGTTGTGTGGTTTGGGGGCTGTGTGGCCATGTCCTAGCACCAATTCCTCCTGAGGTTTCTGTGCCATCTACAAAATAGGAGCTTTTTTGTTGAGTTCCCGGGCCAGAGAAACAGATGGCGGAAACAGAAGAACGGCCTGCATCAGGGGAGCGTGCTTGCTCCATCCATGTTCAACATCTACACAAATGACCAGCCACTGCCAGAAGGGACAGAGAGCTTCATCTATGCTGATGATCGTGCCATTACTGCTCAAGCAGGGAGCTTTGAGATGGTTGAACAGAAGCTCTCCGAAGCTCTAGGTGCTCTTACTGCCTATTACAGGGAAAACCAGCTGATCCCCAACCCATCTAAAACACAGACATGTGCTTTTCATCTCAAGAACAGACAAGCATCCCGAGCTCTGAAGATCACCTGGGAAATAATCCCACTGGAGCATTGCAGTGCACCCAAATACTGGGAGTCACTCTGGACCGTGCCCTGACGTACAAGAAGCACTGCCTGAACATCAAGCAAAAAGTGGGTGCTAGAAACAATATCATATGAAAGCTGACTGGCACAACCTGGGGATCACAACCAGACACAGTGAAGACATCTGCCCTTGCGCTATGCTACTCTGCTGCTGAGTATGCATGCCCAGTGTGGAATGCATCTCACCACACTAAAACAGTGGATGTGGCTCTTAATGAGACATGCCGCATTATCACGGGGTGTCTGCGCCCTACACCACTGGAGAAATTACACTGCTTAGCCGGTGTTGCACCACCTGACATCCGCCGGGAAGTAGCAGCCAATAGTGAAAGGACCAAGGCAGTGACATCTCCAGCTCATCCCCTGTTTGGGTATCAGCCAGCACATTGACTTAAATCAAGAAATAGTTTTCTAAGATCTACAGAGACACTCGCTGGAACACCTCAGCAAGCGAGAGTCCAAAAGTGGCAGGCTCAAACCCAGCACCTCAATCAATGGCTGATACCAAATGAGAGACTCCCCCCTGGGCACAGAAAAGACTGGGCGACTTGGAAGGCGCTGAACAGTCTGGCACCACGAGATGCAGAGCCTATCTTAAGAAATGGGGCTACAAAGTGGAATCCACGACAATGCGAGTGTGGAGAAGAGCAAACCACTGACCACCTGCTGCAATGCAACCTGAGCCCTGCCACATGCACCATGGAGGACCTTCTTGCGGCAACACCAGAGGCACTCCAAGTGGCCAGCTACTGGTCAAAGGACATTTAATCAACTACCAAGCTTGCAAACTCTGTGTCTTTTGTATGTTTGTTTTGTTTGTTCTGTCAAAAATGTAATACAACTGTTCAGTTGCCTGACACGATAAATAAATAGTGATTGGTTGGGGGGGGGGGCCTCTGGGGAAAGATAAAGACATTACAGATGGATAGACTGAATCAAGGAAGCCCTGAATCTGCAAGACTTATGGGGCTCAGTTGAGAGGAAGGCGACTTGGAGGTCCCACACTCCTGGGATCCATCATAAGTCAAAGTCGACTTGAGGGCAATGTGTTGTCGAAGGCTTTCATAGCTCGAATCACTGGGTTGTGTAGGTTTTGCAGGCGAAACGTCAGGAGAGAATGCTTCTAGGATATGGCCATACAGCCTGAAAAACCTACAACCCAGACTTGAGGGCAGCTCACAAGATTCAAAGTCGGCTTGTGAACAGCTCTTAAATGCAAGCGACTGGGATGTTGTGTGGTTTGGGGGCTGTGTGGCCGTGTCCTAGCAGCAATTCCTCCTGAGGTTTCTGTGGCATCTTCAGAGGATGCTCAGCTCTTCCATGCTTGGCTCTTCTCACCGCCCACCATGCGCAGCTTTAGTGCGTTCCTTGGTTAGTCACGGAGGGACATGCACTTGTCGTCTTGTATTGTCACTCCTCCATCGGCTCCGGAACCTTTTGTCTCTCTCTCTCTTGTTCAAATAGTAGCGCCAAGCTGCCCGGGGCTACTCAAGACTTGCTCCTTGCTGGAGGAGGAGAGGAGGAAGCCTTGCGGGAAGGTGGGAGAGAGGAATGGGTGGGTAGGAGGCAGCGTGGGTTGCTGCTTTCCCCCGACTCCGTTCTGGCGGGTGGGAAGAGGCAAGAGAGTCCCGCGGCTTAGTCTTAGGCGTGTCCCGGAGCCTTGGGTTGAGCGTGGGCTGGGCCTTTCGCCACCTCGAGTGGGAGGGAGACCGGCTGCCACGGGAGAGGCGGAGAAGGCAGCAGTCGTGGGAGAAGGCGGAGCGCCGCTGGGAGCTTTGAGGACTCCGGCAGGCAGAGGACGCGAAGAGGAAGCCTTCCCAAGCGCCCCTCGACGGCATCCAAGGACCATCTCGTTCTGCTCGTCCTCCAGGAAAAGCTGGTGCGGATGGGGGCCGTTTCCTGGTGAGAAGAGCCAAGGAGGAGCATCGCGGTCCTCCGGAGGAGAAGCAGGTGGGCATTAGACGGCTGGAACACCGATGGGGCCGAGAGCGGACCGTTGGGAGGACAGAGGCGCCCCTGTGGTCCGGAGCGCCCCTTGGGAGGGGGAGGACAAGGAGAAGAAGGAGGGGAGCCCTGCCCCTTCCCCGACGCCACCTCCTGGGGCCATGCTGCGCTCGCCTTGGGGCACAAACGTCACACAGCCTTGGAGTAATTCCCTTTCCCCCACGCCTCACCCCACTCTGCTTCTGTTGCCCACTTTACCAGCTTCCTCATCTCCTCCAGACTCCCCTGTGGCACAGAAGGTGGCAGCCGGTGGACTGCTGTCACTATTGGTGGTGTGGACACTTCTAGGCAACGCGCTTGTCTGCGCTGCCATCCTAGGCTCGCGGCACTTACGGGCCAAGGTCACCAACATCTTCATCGTCTCCTTGGCCGTTTCGGACCTTCTAGTGGCACTGCTTGTGATGCCCTGGAAGGCGGCAGCCGAGGTGGCCGGCTACTGGCCCTTCGGCGCCTTCTGCAGCGTTTGGGTGGCCTTTGACATCATGTGCTCCACCGCCTCCATCCTCAACCTCTGTGTCATCAGCTTGGACCGCTACTGGGCCATCGCCAGCCCCTTCCGCTATGAGAGGAAGATGACTCCCAAGGTGGCTTTGGCCATGGCTGGGCTAGCCTGGGCCCTGGCGCTGCTTGTGTCCTTTGTCCCTGTTCAACTCAACTGGCACAAGGGCCAGGAGGTCGTCACCACCCCCTCGGCGCCCAGCTTCACCGCCTCTTCCCCTTCATCCTCTTCTTGGATGGAGAGTGAAATGTCACCCACAAACGAGCACTGCGACTCCAGCCTCAACCGGACCTACGCCATCGCCTCCTCGTTGATCAGTTTCTACATCCCCGTGGCCATCATGATTGCCACCTACACCCGCATCTACCGCATCGCCCAAGTGCAGATACGGCGGATCTCCTCTCTGGAGCGGGCCGCTCAACATGCCCAAAGTTGCCGCAGTCACCATGGCTCGGCATCCCCTCTTCCCCACCACCCACTCCAGCATCCCCACCATCGTCCCCATTCCTCCATCCGCAAGGAGGCCAAAGTCCTGAAGACCCTCTCAGTTATCATGGGGGTCTTTGTCTGCTGCTGGCTGCCTTTCTTTGTGCTCAATTGCCTGGTGCCATTCTGCCAGAGGCCACCAGACCTGCCCTGTGTCAGTGGGGCCACCTTCAACGTCTTTGTCTGGTTTGGCTGGGCCAACTCCTCCCTCAACCCCATCATCTACGCCTTCAATGCCGACTTCCGACGGGTCTTCTCTCACCTCTTGGGCTGCCGCCGACGGGGCTCTAGCGCTGCCGGGGAGACAGCCAATGCCAGCCGGGAACTGCTCTCCTTCGCCCCAGAGAGACCCCGTACTGTGGACCCAGAGCTCTTCGACGGAATGCCATGCATCTCACCCGAGCTGGAGATGGCACCCGAGGTGGTCTGTGAACTGAACAAAGCCACCCCCTGCACCTCAGGCTGCCTACTTTAGCTTCCAATTGGTCAGAGGGAGCGGAAACCTTTTTGTTGTTGCACTGGGGCCTTCTCGGATTGGTGAAAATCCTGATTACTGGAACTTGGAGAAGGCTGTGAGATGTTTCCAAGCCCACGGCACCAGCCTCTTCTCCCACTGCTTGTCCTAAGTGCCAGTGGCAACTGGCAGGAGCAAACAAACAAACCCCCAATCCAGTACATTCACTGTGTAAGCAGCAAAGGTTGGATTTCACTCAGGAAAACAAAACAAAACATAGACGGTGTTTTTTTGAGGGCATTATTTCCCTTTGTGCGTTCTGCTCCTGCCAAATGGAAGTGATGTGTTTCATGTTTTCTGAAACGGAGATCTTCTTCTGCCTGCTGTGCTTTCCCCCTTCCTGAGGATTCAATAAATTATGCTGATCAAATGGATTATGGCGTGTCTTTGAAATCATGACATTTTGATTGATTTCACAGCCCAACCATTTCCTGTCTTGGTGTTTAGGTTTCTTCCTGGAACTCTTTGGAGGCACTGATTCCGAAAATTGTGTTGGATGGTTCACATCAGTTCTTGTTTCTTAGATATGGTTATCATGTTTTTCTGTGGGTGAGCAGATGCCTACTAGCAGATACTATATATTCTGTACCTCAAAAAAATAGAACTGATAAGGGAAAACTGGTGGGTTTTTTTGTATATCCGGAAACTGGGCTAATATTTGAGTCAACAAAATGTGTGTTGGCCAGTGTTGGCCAGTGTTTTCTTTATGAAAGTGTCTTTGCCTTGCACACCCTCCTTGAAATGAATGAGATGGTAAGTAAGAAGGATACAGTTGAATTCTGGTGCAGCTACAGCATTGATTTCAATGCACTGGCTTGAGCGTGCAGGCTTTGGCAATTCAGACAATCGGGCTGCCTCTGTTGTCTGCTATGCCCTGCCTGAGTTAGTAACCTATTCTAGCTCTTGCACATTTTCCTCCCATGTTTTGCCTTGGGTGACCAGGTACTGAAGGGTTAGCTGAGGTAATCCTCAATCCATTTATATGAAAGGTAACTTTCATCTCCTAGTCCACTTATGTGGCTAGCGGACATAGAATCCTGCTCTTTTTGTCAGGCAGCAAAATGCCCAAGGAAAGCTCAACTATGTGTGAATAGCAGTGCCTCATAGGCTACCTGAAATGTGTGTGTGATCAAATACAAAAACCAGCATAGTGATCTTGTTTGCTGTGTACTAATCTTGTTATGTATTAAATAATAATAATAATAATTTAATAATAATAATAATAATAATAATAATAATAATAATAACAGTGACATGATATGAGGATTTAAAGATCGAATTGCAAAGACTGGCACAAGCCAGTAAAGGTGGTCCCAGTGATGATCAGCACACTGGGTGCAGTGCCTAAAGACCTTGGCCTGCACTTAAACACAATCAGCACTGACAAAATTACCAGCTGCAGAAGGCCACTTTACTGGGATCTGCACGCATTATTCGCTGATACATCACACAGTCCTAGACACTTGGGAGTGTCCAACGTGTGATCCAGTACAACAGCCAGCAGAGTGTCTGCTGTGGACTCATCTTGTTGTGTTTCTAATAATAATAATAATAATAATAATAATAATAATAATAATAATAATAATAACAATGTGATGTAATACATCACACAGTCCTAGACGCTTGGGAAGTGTTCGACTTGTGGTTTTGTGATATGAAATCCAGCATATAGATCTCATTTGCTGTGACATACTGTGCTTTTGTGTCAGTAAAATAATGATGATGATGATGATGATGATGATGATGATGATGACACGATATGAGGATTTAAAGATCGAATTGCAAATACTCTGGCACAAGCCAGTAAAGGTGGTCGCAGTGATGATCGGCACACTGGGTGCAGTACCTAAAGACCTTGGCCTGCACTTAAACACAATCGGTGCTGACAAAATTACCATCTGCCAGCTGCAGAAGGCCACCTTACTGGAATCTGCACGCATTATTCGCTAATACATCACACAGTCCTAGACACTTGGGAAGTGCCCGATGTGTGATCCAGTACAACAGCCAGCAGAGTGTCTGCTGTGGACTCATCTTGTTGTGTTTATAATAATAATAATAATAATAATAATAATAATAATAATATCTGTGGCATATTTCTTAGCATTTCTTGAGCACACGGTGGGCATGCTAACATACCCACAAACATGTGCATAGTCCAGAAGATCTATCTCAGAGGAGAAGAGGAAAATGTTTCATAACTAAATAGATCCAGGTTGTCAGATGATTAAACAGATGCGGAACACACATTGCCAGAATAGTGCGGCTAGCATAGCAAGAAAGATCAATATGACTAAACAAGCCCTTGATTTAGTAAGAGTATACACACTAGAACTACCACTTCCTCAGCTGTGAGTCTTATTTAAGCTTCTTATCTTTGTTCCTCCTTTGTGACTTCCACAAATGTGTCTGCTGGCCCAGACGCCCTCCGCTCTTGACTCTACTTGCTTTTAACAACATGCTGTATATTAACATAACTGTGCATCAGCATATAGTTGGGCAGATCTAATCCCCTTTCCCCCAAAACAACGAAATTATATAATCATAGAGATGGAAGAAATGCAGAGCCACAGTGATGCAATGGGTTAAACTAGATTGGTTTTTATTAGTTGTACTGTATAACTGGATTGTTTTAATTATTTTATAATTGTTGCTGCTATGTATTTTATCTTACTATGTGTATTGCTGGCATCGAATTGTGCCTTTTGCAAGCCGCCCTGAGTCCCCCTTCGGGGGTTGAGAAGGGCGGGGTAGAAATGCTCGAAATAAATAAATAAATAATAAATTAAACCCTTGTGCCGGCTGAACTACTGACCTGAAGGCTGGTGATTTGAATTCGCAAGACCGAGTGAGCTCCCGTCTGTCAGCTCCAGCTTCCCATGTGGGTACATGAGAAAAGCCTCCCACAGGATGGTAACACATCTGGGCATCCCTTGGGCAACATCTCTGCAGATGGCCAATTCTCTCACAACAGAAGCAACTTGCAGCTTCTCAAGTCACTTCCAACACTATAAAAAAGTTGGAAGAAATGATAAAAGCCATATGGTCCAACTCCATGCCATTCAGAGGCACACACAGTTTAAGCACTCTCGACAGATAGCCATCCAATCTCCAGAAAATCATAGAATAATAGAACAATAGGGTTAGAAGAGACCACATGGGCCATCTAGACCAATCCCCCTTCCATGCAGAAAAAGCACAATTCAATGGCCATCCAATCTCGGTTTGAATGTTTCCAAAGAAGAAGCTTCCACCACTCTGAGGCAGAGAGTTCCACTGTTGAACAGCTCTCATGTTTTTCCTAATGTTCAGGTGGAATCTCCTTTCCTGTAATTCGAATCTATTCCTCTGAATTCTAGGAGACACACAAGCATCAGTGTATTCCACTATGAAACAGCTTTTCTTGTCAGGAAGTTCTTCCTTATATTTATATTTCTTTTTCTGTTTTTTGAATCCACTATTCAGTGTCCAAGTCTCAGAAAATGAGCTTGCTCCCTCCTCCATACGACATCCCTTTAAATATTTAAACATGGCTATCACGTCCTCCTTAACCTTTTCTTCTCCAGGCTAAACATGCCCAGCTTCCAGAGTTGCTCCTCACAGGGCTTAGTTTCCAGCCCCCTGATCATCCTTCTTGAGAACCAGAACACACAACTAACATCTCTCTTTAACTATGGAACGCACTGGATTGCTTTGAAGTAGAAACACATTTCCTGGCTTAATCAAAACTGTTTGTTAATGGTTTACTAAACCAGGAATGAAAGTGTTCTCCTCCACCCCCATCTCAGGCTTTTTTGGCATGCTTGCTTCATATTTTTGCCTTGGTCTCTTCAGACCATTTGACTTTCATATCCTCTTAGGGGCAACATCAAAAAATGCAAAGTTCCCTATTTTGGCATTGACATACATTATCATATGAACACTTCTAAAGCATTTTAAAACATTTTTGGAAACTGTGAATCTCCATAACTATTTGGGAAATGGGATTCATAACCTTCTTGGAAAATCACTGGTCACTGGAAAGGCATGACCTTGTTAGAAGTCACAATCTTTTGAAAAATGGTGTTCACCAGCATTCATGCAAGGCAACTAGGTCTCTCAGCTGTTAAACTGATGTACTTAGGTATGACTTCGAACTGTTAGGGACAAAGACATGTCAATGCACCAAAACCATATATATTCAGCAGAGTTTCAGAAGTGTTCCTTTAGTTCAGTAGTTCTGTGGGTCTCCAGATGTTTTGGCCTTCAAGTTCCAGAAATCCTAACAGCTGGTAAACTGGTTGGGATTTCTGGGAGTTGTAGGCCCAAACACCTAGGGACCCACAGGTTGAGAACCATTGCTTTAGTTGCTCAAAAAACATCTACTTCAGTGGCCTGGCTGAAGGGACCTCTTATTTGCTTATTTGCTTATCTAACCAGGAAGGGGACAGGCTGATAGTCTGAGCAAAATATGACATGAAGGAGTAAAGGATTGTTTTCTTCTTGTTTTCTTCTTCTTCTTCTTCTTCTTCTTCTTCTTCTTCTTCTTCTTCTTCTTCTTCTTCTTCTTCTTCTTCTTCCTCCTCCTCCCCCTCCTCCCTCCTCCCCCCTCCCCCCCTCCTCCTCCTCCTCCTCCTCCTCTTCTTCTTCTTCCTTTTAAGACTCCTCAAGCTTGATACATGGAGAGAGAGAGAGTTTGTTTGAAGATGAAATAGTTAATTAGTTTATTTGTATCATTCTTATGGTATAAGCGTAGTGGTTACATAGGATCAAATGCTTGTTGCCTATATAACAACGTTTCAATATGAGTTTCTCCCAATCTATTCTTTTCTTCCAAAAGGAGTGTTATGCGAATACATAAGAACAGGTTTCAAACTATCTTTAACTTGTAACCCAACATTATGAGGGCACAAGTTGTTCACTAATCATTTAAAGTAATGTTGTATGTCCATTTAGACATCACTACTTCATACTCAAATGTTTATTTCCAGTGTTTTGTATTTCCAATATTATAAAAGCAACACATTCTCAAAAGATGGTGAAAAACTGCATACATCACAAGAAAAAACCAAAAGCACATGCGTGGGATAAATCCCCTAGAAATGAGGTGTCTGAAGTAACTAACATCCAACTAAATTTGTTGTTATTTGCCATCATTTGACTTATGGCTCCCGTCCTGTATGAATGAGAGACTTCCAAGAGCCCTACTCATCAGTGAGTCTTGCAATGGTTGTATCAATCTATCCGTATTGCAGTTTCTCTCTGCATACTGCCTTGCACTTTACCAAGCATTTTGCAATGAATCATATCTAAAGTCATACTGAAAGTAAGACAATTTCCATTTAGTCATCTTCATTTCTAATGAGAGCTCAGGCTTGAACTGCTTTGAAACCTG